TTGTCACGGTCCAGGACATTTCAGTTGGGACGAAGTGGACAACAGAACAAATGACGCTGCTGAAGATGTGCCACCTGAAGAAGCAACCGTCGAAGAAGAAACTCTACTCAGTTTTGAGAAGGGAAACGATGAAGTTACTACCACTGATGTGACTGTCATCGACGATAGAACATTTCCTGATGCAGCAGATGAACCCCATATGAAGCAGAAGCCAACGAGACGGAGACCAGTACGGAAGAAGATACGTCCCGTAAAATTAAGAGACTTTGTTGAATTGTAATTTTGTGTTTGTAATTCTGTACATTTAATTAAAACTACCCCCAATCTAGTAAATGCTAGGGCATTCACGAAGGAACAGGATATTTCTAGAAACGTGGTGTGACACTAGTCACGTGACCTAGCTGACGCAACACTGTCCCCTTCTTAGTATTGTTCGTCCCAAACAATAACCACACACAATAAACCAATAACAATAATCTGGTGTATATAAGATGGTCACAACGTGATGGGAACAGTGTAGGTAGTGAGTAATTGATCTGCAGTCAGAGAGTATTGTTGAAGGTACCGTTCGTTATAGCGTTTGTTTTAGCGTGAATGTTGAAATTAAGTAAAGTGAACGGTTATACCAAGAAGACCAAAGACATAGTGGATCGTCTCTCAGACGTGACTTTCCGGATAAAATGTTGTCGGCGAGGTAAGCCAAAACTTAATAAACTGTCAATCCCATTGTTTTTAAGAGATAAAAGTTCCTAATAGCATCTCAGCTAAAATTGGTTGGTCACAAAACTGTTTTGTTAGAAATATACCAAGAATATACAATTACACTAAAAGTTGTGATTTTCTGAGACTGTAATCTATATAAATATAATAGTACTGTCTGTTGTATGTCCATGTAACTACTTCACAGTTTGTAGATGGAACTTGACCAAAATTGATATGGAGGTTCATTAGGTCCATGCGGGGGTACATACAAATTTTCAGTTTTGCACTTTGCGGTTTTTAGGGGCATTTTTTACCACTACTTCGCCCCCTGTAGATGGATATTCACCAAATTTGGTATGAAGATTCAGTGGTTCTATGGGGAGATACATACAAATATCCAGTTTTGCATTTTGCAGTTTTTATGGGCTTTTTTTTTACCAGTACTTCGCCACTGTTGATGTGATGATGGTTTTTTTTTTGCTCTCGAATTATAAGTAGGAAAGGAAGGAGGTAAAATGAATTTCTGGGAATAATTCTGTTGGATTGCTATTGTTGTAAAGTTTATCAATGGCTGTGGTTAGAAAGAATAATCGAATTGAATGTGAAGGAATTTAGTTATAAACAAAGCGAAACAAAAGATGTAAATAAGAGATTAATACATGTGGCTAACGTAAAAAAAAGTTCTAAAAGGGACTTATGGACTATTTTCTGGAGAAAAAGTTAGAAAGGGGCAACGTTTCAACCCACTTACTTCTACATAAGAAAAAAATGACGATTGCTGGGGAATCGATAAACGATATAATTTTGTGGACCTCCTCTCTCCACATTTTGACCCCAAAACTGCAGTTTTTTTACATGTTTCGTATTAAGTTCGATATACTAACGGTGAAGACCGTGTTTTCCATGGCTGTCATGTTATATCCGCGTCCCATTTTCTAACCCTCTATCAACTCTTATCACTCTCCGAATAATGTGTCTAAAAGAACTAAACGTTGAAATTTGACTTTAGAAAATCACGATTTTCCATTAATTTCAAACATAACTTTTTATTTTGTAATAGAAGTTCCTAATAGCATCTCAGCTAAAATTGGTTGGTCACAAAACTGTTTTGTTAGAAATATACCAAGAATATACAATTTCTTGTTATAGATGAACAATATAATGCCATTCAAAATAGAAATAATTTAAAGTACTATATTACATTTCTCAGTAACGTACACGAGGGGGGAGGGGTTCAAGACCTATCTTTCTGCTCTTAGGTTCCCCCTCCCCCATGTGCCCCTTTTCTCAGTAATAGAAAATGTCTACAACTACTAAAAGATACGCCTAATTGCTCTTTGTGCACCAGAGACAACCCCCAGTCCCCCATAATCATCCCTAATACCTCTATTCCCCAAAAAGTTTGAAAAGTGCTCTTTTTTGTCCATGAGCCTCGCCCTGTTAATGTCCTCTACACGTTACTGGTGTTTCTTTAACTGTAAAAAGCCAGTAAGTGAACTTAGATATATCATGTTCTCAGAGTCTGGTGGTTAGAGTGCTCGACTTGCAATATTTGGGTTAGACTCCCGTTACTGAAAATACGTGCTCTTTCAGCCGTAGAAGCGTTATAATATGACGGGCAACCATTTTTTCGTTGGTAAAAGAGTAGTCCAAGAGTTGGCGGGAGGTAGTGTTGACTAGCTTCATCCCTCTAGTCTATCATTTCTAAATTAGGAACGGTTAGTAGCTTCGTGCAGTTCCTATAGATCGAATAACTTCAAAGTCTAAGTGTTTACTATTTCTCCAAGCTTGTTAAATCTATATTTCCGATTTTCTGGAACTGACGTATTAGATCATGCAGTAGGCTTAACCGTTTGTTGTTTTTGGTTCTTGTTTTTTTTTTTGGGGGGGGAGGGGAGATAGTATTGCCATTCAGCCTATAAATTTACTTATTTTTGGTATCAGTGTTTCTTTCTCTAATATGTCCAATGCTTTGCAAACTCAGTTTTAACATTGCAGTTACACCACAACTGTCACGAACCACGGTAGTGACTGATAATAGGGATCGCCTATTTGTTCTTCTTTATTATTATTTAATATTGTTCCACCAGCCTACAGCAAGAATGTATGTGAGTATTGTGATAAAACCTGGGCAGTATTACTAAACGCATTATTGCGCATTGTGTAGGGTAGTTTTCAAGTTTATTTGGCTACCTAGCAATTAACAGTGGTTGTATAATCGTTGACACCCAATCGTTTGAATGTAGTTTGTGGTTTATATGCAGATTCATAATCTACTACATGTTCACATATATGGCTGTGTGCAGACCATCGATATAATTTAATGTTTATATGGCAGGCATGACACATGTACCATAGCGATTATTAACTTATTGTTGCAACTGTATTGATGTCGCGTATCATTTGTTTATATATATATAGAGAGAGTTCCTGCCCTTTCGGACACGACTTTGCTGACAGGATCACAGTTTCTTTTTGTTTTTTTTACCAGTGCATGATCGATTTCGGCCATGTTATACAAACAACAGAAATATTTAAGGCGCGGTTAAAACAGTAGTATCAATTTCAGATTCGAGCCTCAGATCGGCAATCACGGTGATGGCTGCTGGTAAGTATCGAATTATAGCCAAATCTGCATGACTGCGAATTTTTAAATAGATATTGCAAATAGAGTAGACATCCTTGAAGCTGACTATAAGGAGTGGCAAGAATCGTGTAAGCAGAAGATGGCTATTCTTGGCGAAAGTGAGGCAGAAATTTTGTAGCTATAAATTTTATTTAGAAAATATTTAGTTTCAGATAAAGTATGCAGCAGCGATGGCTCACCAGAATTTAGTGTCACGACCCAAACTACATCAGAAATGGGGAAAGGTATATTAATATAATTAATTCATAATTGTTAATTAACACGTTTTCGACCTTGTAGAGCGTGCAGAATGTCACTCTAAAAGGAAATCTGACCAGCTGCAGCAAAACCGTGACTGGCCTTACTATGGTCAGCGGAGAGTAAGAAGAGAAAGTGGGAAATATAACAACTATAAGATATATTAAAAATACTTATTTGTATGCATATTTTATTATATTATGACACATTGTCTTATATTTGCATTGAACGTATATGCATGCATATCCAACATACACTGCATTTACATGAAATTATGAAACTCATGCGGTTATTAAATCTAGTCCATGCACCATTCCAGTATAGTTCAGTAGTTCAGGAGCAATAGCCAACCAATCTGCATGAAGCCAGTCCAAAGGTTATCATTGTTTCCCGAGAGATCATCATACACCAACTAAGTATTTTATTCAACTAAACCGCTTCAAATAGGACAGTATTGCTATTATATATATATATATATAGAGAGAGAGAGTTACGTACATGATGAACATTATAACTTCAAGAAACAAGATTAATTAAAAAAAATTAATTTAAAGATAGGGAAAAGGGATCCTCAAAAAATTACAGAAACAAGATAGATAGATTAAAGTGAAAATGCAATCGCGAAAAAGTAAACAAACAAGCTTAAGGTTTGAGACACAGTGTTGAAATTATTTTCTCAAGCTACAAGTTTCTATTTTGATACCTATCTTGTTTCTGTAATTTTTTGAAGATCCCTTTTCCCCATTGTTTTAAAGCCTACTAGCGGCACAGCGGTATGTCTGCGGACTTACAATGCTAAAAACCGGGTTTCGATACCAGTGGTGGGCAGAGCACAGATAACCCATTGTGTAGCTTTGTGCTTTACTTAAAAGAAAGAAACAAACCATTTTTAAATTAACAATTTTTAATAATCTTGTTTATATAAGGCTTCCACTTGAGAAAGCTAAATCCACTAACATTCGATCTTTACTCAGCTAGATTTGTTAATATTTTTACAGTTTAGACTTCAGAGCAACAAATTATCCAAAAAATGGCAACGAAAAAAAAAGACCTCATTCCTAGGTATAATGTAATTGTTTTATTTTTGCGAATTACCTCAAAACGTGCCCACCATAACACAACAATATATATATACGTCACTGAAGACATCTACAACAGAACAACTTAATATCAGTAGATAATGTTTTAACTGTAAGCTGAGTGAGTAACTTAGCAACACATAAAAATATATAATTCTATGTAGCAACGCCAAACTAAGTATCACTCTTGATTTATAGGTTTCCACTGAATTAGTAACCAACGGCTGAATAATTTTTGGTTCCTTCTCTGTTCCACCGAAGGTTACTTTTCTTTTCACGAAGGTCATCACATCTTGAGTAAGTTGGTTTGCAGAAATCACCTTGAAAATAGTAGTTTTCTTCACAGGAACCTATTTGTTTAGTATCGAAACCAATTAAAACCACTTTGTCTGTTGTAAAATAATCGACAGGCAGCGTTTAGAAGTCCATTCTGTCAATTGAATATGTTGTTGTTGAGTAACGTACAACGCCGAAATCACACGGTATTCCAACCCTCACTACTTTGTCACCTGGTGGGACAGCGGCAAATTTACGGATTTACAACGTTAAACTCCGATGTTCTTATTACCCGCGGTAGACAACGGTAGAAAGTCTAAAACAAACAAACCTTCACCACTTCCAGTACAACAACAGAACCATTACAAACAATGGAAACTTCTTTATTCCGACTCATCAGGAATGCTACCCCTGTTCTGAGAACGTTTATAGATTTCTGATTGGTTCTAACTGTCGTTGCCTGAGTTACTGATGAATCCAGTGATGTTAATAGCTTCTTCGTATGACGGAGGAAGCGACTCATCGGGATTCTCCTGTCGATAAGAAAGATATGTTAGTAAATTTTACATTACCAATAAATGTGATTTGGAAAAAAAGTCACAGAAAAATACAACAAAAAATAAACAAACATACTCGGTATTTAATGTGATGTTATACAAACATTTAGTTCGTGTCTATATAACTCTTAAAGGTATCACAGCTGAATAAAACAAAATCTGTTTGTTTGTCTTGAATCTCGGGCAACGCTATTCGAGGGCTATATGCGCTAGTCTTCCCTAATTTTGAGGAGATAGACTAGGTGGAAAGCAGCTAGTCAACACCACCCATCGCCAACTCTTGGGCTACTCTTTACTAACGAATAGTGGGATTGATCGTCAGATTATAATGCTCCCACGGCTGAAAGGGCGAGCATGTATATATGGTTTTGTTCAATATATATGTTCGATATTTCTTATGTCTTTTCTTGTAAAGATGCGCGTACTTTTGTGCTGGCTATATCAAATACAGGACTGGAAGCATGCCGAATTGTTATTTGTTTTTACCTTATTTATATTCACACATCTCTATAGAAATTGGGCTTCCATGGTAAATATCCACTTGTCTCTTTTCATATTTAATGCCGAAAAAGGAAAGAATTATGGCTAAGAAGTGACAATAGGTTTCATATGAACCTGAAACTGATTGACACTTTGTCTAACCAGGAATTTAAAAATTATGAGTAAAACAGTTAATATAAGCAAAAATAACTAGGGTAATAACTCAATCGGATACAAAAACAAAAGTTGTTGTTAAGCTATTTATGCTCTGTCCACCGCGTGTATCGAAACCAGATTTTTAAAGTTATAAGTTCTCAAAATTACCGCTGAATCAGCGGGGTGTAGGGTGCTCTGGTACAGAAGGTGAAATCGTATCATAAATTAACGACCATTAAAGATCGTTTGTTTCGAATATTTGCGCAACTCTACACAAAAGTTATGTTGTTGTTTTTTAGCGCAAAGTTATAAAATTGGCTCTCTGCTTTCTCTTTACCGCGAGGAATCGAACCCGAAAATAGTCGTAACTCCGTAAACTTACCGCTAACCACCGGGGGACATGGCTGTCTGTACTAGCCGTTTTTGAACACAGCTAGTCAACAAGCAGACACTGCCATTTCTTGAGTTACTGCAATCGAATAGTAGGACCTGATCATCACCCTTATAACACATCCATGATTCCAAAGTGCGGATTGCGATCTTGTGGCAACGAGACAAGATCCACGGACCCTCAGAGTCATATTGTTGCTTTAATTTATTAGTTATTTTATATTTGTTTGTTTGTTTTTGAATTTCGCGCAAAGCTACACGAGGGCTATCTGCGCTAGCCGTCCCTAATTTAGCAGTGTAAGACTAGAGGGAAGGCAGCTAGTCATCACCACCCACCGCCAATTCTTGAGCTACTCTTTTACCAACGAATAGTGGGATTGACTGTCACATTATAACGCCCCCACGGCTGAAAGCATGTTTGGTGGGATGGGGATTCGAACCCGTGACCCTCAGATTGCGATTCGAGCGCCTTAACCATCTGGCCATGTCGGTATTTTATATTTAAATGAATACAATTACTTAATTTCAGGAAAAGGTTTATAGTCTTTTTATTTCTGGTGAAGTTTTTACTTACATAATAAAAAAACGAATATTATGCACGCTCATACACATATACATACACACACACATATTTATATAATGCAAACAAATATTGTATATTTTTGTTGTTATTCTGAGCTTACCATTGGTGAATGGAGTTTATATCGAAGAACTTCATCGTATGTCGGAGGTCTGTTGAGACTCAAGTTAAAGTAGCTGGTCGAGTCAGATGATATAGCTTCCGAGATATTTGGTATACAGCTATTTATTGAGGGACTACGGTTTATATTCCTCAACGATATGTACAAAGAAAGTGACCTGTAAGGGTAATAAATTCAATTTTAATTAAAATTCTAACAAACTAAACGTTTTAACCATTCTCTTGTAATGTTACAATTTGCTTATTACATCACATAGCATAAATTTACCGATTCTCATTGTACCACCTTATTCACGAAATCTTTTTTTTTTTAACTTTTTAATTATAGTTGAATAATATACAATAGTAATGAACCAACTTCTCATTTACATTGCCATGTAATAACTCTCTTTTTATTTATTAATTAATAGGAGTTTTTGTACAGTTAAATTTACCATAGATCAATACAAGCCAACCACTTGAAAATGGCGACCTAACTGTACGTGGGTTACAAGAGCACATAGTTTACTAGGTTCATATTCAGTTGTTGGAATACTAAACTTAATTTATTCCTATAGAATTACCAAATCTTGTGAATAATCTAAGCAGTCTCATGTATTGCGTTTGTTAAGTAGTGGTCTTATCTAGAAAATGTAGAACAATTCGTGTGCAACATTCAGGCATATCACAAGTTTTCAACCTGCTTTTATTAAAATAAGAGTTTTGAAAATGTTTCGTGTTGTCTGGGGTTTTGGCATAAGCACGTACTACAGAAGACCGTTGAAACAATTTTGTTCTAGTTGACTATGTGTCTTTGTTGGTCTCTAACAGATTGTATCTACTTCGCCCGTGCAGACAGATGCTGCTGCTACATCACACATTGTTTAGAAACAGGTCATTGACAGCAGTATCCTTCCCTGGCCAAGTAGATATGTACAGGGTTACAATCATTGTCTGTTGCACGAGAATGACCAATCACGTGGTGATGCATATCGCTTATGTGTAAAATTGAGGTTACCTGTGTTTGCAAGGAACATTGATTTTGGGCAATCTATAATCCAATGGCGATACATCTTGAAAAAGAAAGCTGTTGGCCAATCAATAAGTCTAGTGTCTTATGAAGGTGTATTTTTTCTCTCAGATTGAATCTCAGTCTTTAGTTAAATTCAGATTTACTTTGTAATTAGTCTACATGTATTTCTCATTATAAAGCAGATCCATCTGATACTTGGAAAGAAATCAGTTAATATGAGAATACCACAAGTAGATAGAAAGGATAAATTTTGGTGCCTTGATCACAGAATTTATTGTACTAGTTTTTTTTTTTTTACTTCTTGAGTTTAAACAAGTTTAAAGTAATGCCTTTACTGAAAGAATGGCATATTTTCAAAGTAGAAGTTCTCTTGACCAAGAGAGAGTACTTACTTTCAGAGAGAGAGACACACACAGTTTTATAAGAGAGGTGTTGAGTCCAAAAGAGTCCTCTCTTGGACAAAGGGCTTTTGCTTTGCTGTGAGGGTCCCTGTCATACATCAACTTACAGCTACTGACTTGGCTGAAGTCTGGTGTACTTAGACTAATAAATCAAACTTTGCCTCTGAGGATTGTTCCTGGCACAAAAAACGCAAACAAAATTGAGGGTAACTAAAAAGAATTATACCTAGGAAGTTTGAAAACATTTAGAGTTATCTACACCTTCAGCTCTGGTCAAGACCACCCACTAGCAGCTGAGAAAGACTGGAAGTGTTGAGACTGCAGGTACCCATAGATAAGGATAATGAATTATGGGACAGTAGACAGCCTCTCTGAGCCAGGAGGTATTTTGCAGCAGTGACTATGGCTTCTGATGAAAGCTGGGGTCATAAAGGGTTGTATGAAGAGTTGATGAGTGCAACTCATTGCCCTGCTGCCCTGCACCAGGAACTGACTACTCCTCCAAGTATTATAGTCTCTGGGTACATCTCTTGCCCTGCACCTGCAACATCAATGGCATTTCAAATAGGCATTGGCTAGGACCTCCAAGTAGTATAGTCTCTGGGTACATCTCTTGCCCTGCACCTGCAACATCAATGGCATCTCAAATAGGCATTGGCTAGGACCTCCAAGTATTATAGTATCTGGGTATATCTCTTGCCCTGCACCTGCAACATCAATGGCATCTCAGATAGGCATTGGCTAGGACCTCCAAGGGCAAGGCTTTTGGGTGGTATTACAGTTTTCTGTGAGAGAAGCAAAATATATTTTGCCCCAACATTCAAATATGCCGGGAAAAAATCTGGATCACTTCTTGAGATTTTCCAATAACCAACTGCCTGGAATGGATGGACTAAGGAGCAGGCTGTCAAATGCCCAATTTTGAGGCTAGATGAAGAGATATAGGAAGACTAGGGCAGTCACCATCGAGTTTCACTGCTAATTAAGCCCTGAGAATAATCAAGTGATCCACTGGGTTTAGTTCAAGACTTGAAAGAGGACTGGAACCAAGAGTCTACCCATTTATACAGATGTTCTGCATCAGTTGCATGGTAAGAAAAACAGATTGAAAAGACAAGCTCAATGAAAAGTTTGTCAATAGCTTCCTGTCAAAGCCAGTGAAGCACCACTTGAGAGGGACATCTTTACAGGTAGTTTTAGCCATTGCCAAGTATGGAGTTTTAACTTTGGGCTGGCCATTAAAGATGATAAGATTTGCAGTGACAGTTAGAGTGGCTACATCTTAGAGGTAATGACCAACTCAAGTAACTCAACAATGTCAAGCTATAGTCACACTGACGGTAACCAGCCACCTGCACATCCTGAGATTGCAATTCAGGCCCACTCATTGGATACATGTCACAACAAATGCTGATGGTACTGCCACTTTGACATCATCCAGGACAGAAGTGAAGTGTCTTCTTTGTTTGAGATGGTGAGGCACTGAGCAGCAAAGACAGCAAGGTTATTATTTCCAACCAATAGCTCAGAAGAAACCACTAATTCAGTGCTATGCCTAGCAGCAAAATAGGCAAGGTTAATGGCATTTTCCAATGGGTCAGCAAGTACAGAAGAATGATCAGCTTGTGGTGGATGCTGTAGCCAATGCTCTGGAAACCAATAGAATCCAGGTTGGATCTGACCACCAGCTTGTGGGAGTGCAGAAGGCTACTTGCACTAAAGTGTTTAGTGGTCAGTCCAGTATTCACAGGGTTGGATGGTGCTTGGTACATACCTGTGCGGGTAACAGGGCGAGAGATTGCATGATTGGTTGACACAGGAGTAGTTAGAATGGCGGTAGACCTCACAATATATCAAGCCCTCTAAGTGAGACCATTACTCTGGCTAAAGGCTACTGATTTAATTCTAGAGAATGACAGTGGACCAGATTTTAGAGTAGAGATACACCTTTGGCTCTGCATAGGAAATGCCATTCGCCAAATGAAGGTGGTCATCTCCAACCCTGGATCTGGTATTGGAATCGTCATGATGAATGTGCTGCAGAAATTATTCGTCAGTTTTGCCTCCAATGCTTTATGAATTATAAATGTCTGATAAATTAACTGCAGTGCTAACTTCTCTAGAATACTAGAAACATTGCCAGTGCTGAAATACGGTGGGTTTTGAAGAATGTTGTCATAAAACCTTTGGAGAGTGCTTGGTCAGGAAGAAGGAAGGTATGCCAACGTTTTGTGTTGAGTTTCAATGGACTAATGATGTAACACGCATTAGTGCCTTCCCTTTATTTTGAACAGACGAATGTCTAGACACATTACACGGTTCCCATTGGTTCAACACTTTCATTCAAGCATCTGTATACTGGCCTAAAGCTGCTTTTAACATGAAGGATGGCTTGTCTGAATTCCATGTAATGTGGTTTGGCTTTTATTACACATCCACGAATTTTAAGAAGCCAATGGAGCTTACACTGAAGGAACTGTAATAGGAGAGATCCCTGATTTACATTGATGATGTCTTAATGTTTGATCACATACTTCAGTTTGTGGCTGAGAACCTGAGAATGGTATTCCATAAGATAAATCAGGCTTGAAACTGAAACCAGGAAAGTGTTTGCTTATGTGCAAGAAGAGGATCTTCTCAATCATACTGTAGAAAGAGATGGAATCTCTACAGACCTGATTAAGATAGCCATGGTGAGAAATTGGCCTTAACCTGTGACCAGTTTTCTTTGTTTTACATGAGCTTAATGATAATTTGTGGCCAGCTTATCCAAGTCAGCAGCACCACTGTATGTTCTCACAAAACTAAAGATGCACTTTGATGGAGCAAATAATGTGGCCAAGCATTCCAATACCTAAAGTTAGTTTTAATGCTAGCCTATGCACAATAAGATAGCAAGTTCCTGTTCGACACCAATGCCAGTGACAATGGAATTGGAATAGTGTTATCACAGTTACTTGATGGAGTAGAATGTGTAATCATGTATATTCTAGCAGTATGCTCATAAATCTCTAATTAAATACATATACTATACATCAAAGAAAGAACTGCTTGCAGCTGTTATATTTGTGAAATATTATTGCCACTACTTGTACCTGGGTAGATTCTGGTTTACTGAAGTGGCCAATAAGCATTGCCCAAGCCAACAGCATGGAGACCTGGATGAATTATCTTGCTGTACAATGATATCTTGTCTGTTTATGGAATGTTCTGATCCTGAACAACATGTTCGGATGGAGACCATAGTCATTTCTATTAAAGCAAAGGCAAACCATAATGTAAGAGAATCTGCTGGTGGGTAGATGCCAAAATTAACACTTCAGGAGCTCAAGAAAGAGCAATTAAAGAACATCTACTTAGAATGGTCACTCCTTACCATGCAGCACAAGGTAAAGCCCAAACAGTATGAACAGAAGAGCATAGAAATGATGCACATAAGCTGTGGTACAAGTACAGGAATGTGTAGCATACCATTACAAAAAAACATAAAGCCATGATTCTTCAACTGTGCTGTAGATAGTGATCCCCAGAGTGCTATAGAAAGAGATTATTTAGAATTTGAATAACTCAAATACTGAAAGGCATCAAGGTATTAACTGCATTTGTGCTAACATTTGATGGTGGTTCTTTTTGGTCACATTCAAGTCAAGATGTTTGGTGATGGTAAAAATATTGTACAATGTACACCACCTACAGAAAAAAATGATCAAGACTGACTAAACTCTAACCGAGAATTCTTGGGTTT